TTTCCATAATTAGTATAAAAAATTAAAAATAACTGTCTTTAAATATCTCGCTTGTTGACCCATTTTTCAATATTATTTTGTGGGTATTAAATTTTAACAAAATACCTAATTTTATTTAATATCATGTTCTTTAAAAATTATATTCATATACTAGCTTTGATCAACAACAAATTTTAGGTTTGATATATTTATTAACAAATAAAAAAAATCTTTCCTAAACAAAAGGGTTATCTTAAAAATTCAATCTGCATATATGATAAGAGTATTATACACATATCAACAAAACACTTATAATTAATACATTATTTGTTACTTTACAAAAGGAATTAAAAATATAAAACATAGGTATGGAAAAATTATTGAAGTTTTTTAAAAAAAAAACTTTTTCTTAAGAATTTCAATTATTCCTTTAAAAATTATCATATTAGTATCATAGCGAAAAATCTATGTTCATTTTAAGCCTCTTAGAGCCTTTAGCAATTAAATGGTTTAAGTATTATTTCGTATTGTTTATACAATAATGGTGTTTAAGTTGGATAATAAAAGAATATTTCAAGGAAAATTCAAATACCAAATATAAAGCGAAAAAAACATTCATGGACACGAGGGGGATTCGAACCCTTTACTTCTGTAATATCAGGTTCCAGCCGCTTCAATGTAAATAATTTCTTAGTTTTAAAGATGCTGGAGTAAAATATATTATAAGAGTTATTATAATCTTTGTGTCTATTAAATATAATACTTATTTACTTTTCCGTGAATATTTTAAAGGAGAACTCCATAAAAGTGACATTCAAAAGAAGCATGCGAAGTAAAACACAATAATGAGCGACCTCATGCCCTGACTATCAAATTATAGAGGTAACATCTGAAAAGATCTTGATGAGCTGTTCATTTATGAAACTGACGCCGTTAATTAAAAATGTACCTAATGGTCATATAAATATAATGGTAAATAAGTTTTTACATTTCATATCAAAACTCAGTTCACAAGAATACGTTGCAACATTCTTTAAATTTGACGTTAAAAAGGAAATATTTTATGAAACAAATTTTATTTCAGTCTATTTTTAATTATGCTTATAGTAACTTTACTTACTGTATGGTTAGATATTATTTTTTACGAATTGAGAAGCAAGATTTAAATGACGATTTGAGGTGTTTTTACTCTTTTAATTTAAATAATTATTGATTATAATCTGTTATATAATAGACTCCGCACAGGAGCTGCTAGTTACTAGATTTAAACAAGAAACCATTTTGATACTTGAAACGGTAAACCTACTTAAGTATATTTTATAAAAATATGATATTTTTTGTGTATCGTTAGTTTTAAACATTCGTGTCGACGAAGGCTTACTTCAGTTGGAAAATATTCGTTGTTTGGTTGAAGAAGTCTTATTATCTAATGATTAATTGAATTGTATAAATGACAGACATGATAATTGAAGGCCTTTTTTATTCTAAACGTGATATTAGTATATTCTATTTTGAAGAAGATTTTTAAATTCCTTATATTTCCTGTGAAATTTCTTATTATTATTTCGATACGATAAGCGTATGGAGAGTGACCGTATATAAGACAAAAAGGACGTCGAACGTAATTCTATTGAAAAATTAAAATTTCTTAATTCTCAAGGCATTTACTGATAAACTTAATATACACTTTACTGCCTCTCATGTCGTGGACTCCCACTTTTTATTTCTGACTTGAAAACGATGAAAGGAAATAAAAGTCTTAACACATATGTACAAGTTGTTACGGTATCTGTAGTGTTATCATGATGCCTGTTGTATTGTATTATCATATGTAGAACATTTCATTTATTTTTATTATATTTAAATTTTTGCACCGCAGCACTATGCTGCAAACAAAAGAGGAGAAATGATAGGCACATTATATTCTCGAAAGTCACCAATGCCTTTCAACCTTCCTACTATCGTCCCATCGCAATGTTACATTCCCATCGAAGATTATCGAAACTATTGTTCACAAACGATTTGTCACATTTTTAACTAAAAAGTTCTATTTAATCGTTAAAATCGCTGTTTCACTGGTTTAGCAATGACTTATACAATACTAAGGAGACTATACAATCTTAATACAATATATAATTAAGGTGGCTTAAGAAAATGATGACGTGATGTGAAAGGCAACTAAGTGAATGTTTTTGAGTTATCTAACGTTATTAAAAAAATCCTTAACTTACCCATCATATGTCAAAATTTCAGATCTTCTTTTATATATTTTTTTTTCAAACGGAACGTTGAAATGAATGTTGAAGGTAAAGGAAATATCTTGGATTTTTTTTCCACGCTACACCACGCTTTTCTTTTAGGGTGGAAGTACAAGAAGCCTATAGAAAATATTACAGGTACACGAAGGTGTGTGCTTCTTGAACTATGACGAAGTGCACCTTAATTAATATAGTCGTTGGAGAAAGACAAGCACTTTATTCATTTGAGCCTCCACAAATTTAACTAAGTACAGATGCCAACTAAGATGGTTCCCAATACATGACCCTAGGAATGTAAGTCTACTCACTCTAAATACGCATGTAAGCCTATTAATTCAAAAGGTATTTTTTGTTTGAATTTCATAACTTCCAGGTTTTCATCCCTCGAGTAATATATTTTTTCAAACTTCTCTCCATCGATTTGGATCTCGATCTAACTCTTTTTTTGTAACAGATATTCGGAACGTTTTGCCAGTATCTATACGCCAGTATGCTTTTTCTAAATAGTTTATCTTTTTAAATTCAAATAATTTCTTATAAAAATATCATAATCTAAATAATGAATCTTAATCTACCTATATTTAATTATCCTTTCTAACTAAAATTATTATTTTTATTTATTACATAATTTTTAATATTTTTTTCAATATCTGTATTTTTTGTTTTTTTTTGTATTCCCCCTATCTTATTCCGTTTCTATACTTAAAAGTTTTGGTAAATAGGTATCTGGTAGACGGTGCTTCTCATCATTACTATTGTTTGTGGAAAATTTGTATATGTGTGCAAAACAAAAATAATTACTGAATTCCTATATACAATATGTGTTACGACAGTTGACATTTTCTTTAATGATAACAGAAAAATGTATCTAAAAAGTACGTTTGTTTGGTTAAGGATTAGAAACAATATAAATACCTATTTAATTTTTTCTTTTTACATCCAGAAATAGTTTGTTTTTCTGCCAGTCCATATCTATTTGTCACAGATCTTTGGTTACGGATTTCAACTTCGTACTCGTAGTTTAAGGTCATCCTTATTTTTTTTATAAATGAGTCTTTGTGGTTATTATCACTGATATAATTTTTGTTCGTTCGTATCTGAAAAGAATTTAAAAAAGATAATTTTAAGATTTTTTCATGTCTAATTTCTATATATGTTCATTAAACAAAAAAAAAGTAACATTCGGCATATAGTAATAATATAATTTTTACTATTTCGTAATAATCTATCATAAAGAGAATAATTTATTAACTCGGAATGATCCCGACCTCAGGGCTCACATTAATATAAAGAACTTCACAGTAAACAACAAAAGTATTAAAACCATAAAGCCAATGTTGAAAAGTATAAAAAGAATTAGTTTTCGCATGTTATTTTCTATAAATTTATATGTTAAACTTGAAAGGAAGACTTATTTATTACCAATTACTTACTATTAAAAATGGAAAATATACAGATACTGTCATTTCATGTCTGAGACAAAGAGAAGCGCTCGCAACACGTATGCGCTTCCCTCTCCACTCAATTGTCCTTTACGTTTTACATTTATGCATCATATTCCGTGGACGCAATGAGAAGTAAAAACATTGCAGATACTTCGTCATATAAACGAAACGATACTTTATTTTATATGAAAAAGAGCTTAAAATGCAACGTAGCCATGTTTTGAGAATTCTGACGCAGGGAAAGACGACAGTTGCTAGATAAAGCAAGAGCTGTGTTGTAAAAAAGTGACATCCAAAACTCAAAAAGTATGAATTGGAGATGAATACCAAATAAAATAGGTACTACGTCTTCCACATGAGCAAAGATGCGAATAAAATTTAATATAAGAACAGTTTTCAGTCAATAATTTCGTTTATCTCGATGTAATATATTTTAGAGAGGCTTGTATTAATATCATAATATTCAAAAAAGTATTTTTTTTTGCTTCTCGTTGTGTTCATATGGACAATGGACATATTATTCGTTTGTAGGTGCATAATAATATTTTATTTGTATATTAGCAGTGTTCGACTATTTTGATAATAAATCACAAAAATGTGTTACTATTTTTGTTATGTAAAACAAACCTTTATTACAAAACATTCTGTCCAAAATTGAGATAATACTATCAAATTTTCAAATCACATTCATTGTTTATCTATTAATAGATTTTATCTACATCGTATTTTACATATCCCACTCGTTAATAACCATATCAAATCAATGAACTTTGATGAAGTAGTTCACACATTTCAGTTGAGGTGTTAATTTATGTTTAGTTTATTTTCTTATTTATATAAAAGCGTCATATGTAACATATCTAACTTTAACTTCTAATATCGGAATCCGTCCAGAGTAAAATCAGTCCTTTGTCGTTCTGGTCACGTATCGTTTTTACAACTGACTCAGCTGCGGATAACCAATTCAGAAAAATGCGTTCAGTTTCATGATTTCACAACTGTCCTTATTCGTGACGGTATTTGTTTTTAATCCGTTTTCCATCAAAACTATAATTGATACTATATTATTATTAATAATATAAGACTAAGTTATCATACATTTCTCGATGGATACCCAGAGAAATAATTAAGAGAAGCTGTGATGTATTATGTATATTGTTTTAGATTTTGAAAGTAAAAATAAATATTTTTTTCATAAGATTTTAATTCTTAAGTAATTTGAAGTAGCTGTATAAAATACGAGTATGAGTAAATAAATTTGATACCTCCTATCGTTCGTTGGATCGCCGGGACTGGCTTCAGTCACGTTAAGTTTCAATCACCGAGCTCCGACCAATTGGAAGAAACGTTTTAATATTTCATTCATCAGACTCATCCAATTCATTTTGTAGTCATCCACTTTGTAACCGTGGGAGTTCGAACTCTTAGATTCTGAAGGAAAAAATATTACAATATAGTATAATTTAACATTTAGTTCAATTTAAGATTTATCTTACCTACGGAATATTAACATCCTTTATACTAGATTCTTAATGTTTTTTGTAGCTGAGAAGTTAGTACTTCATGTTTATTATTGTTCAAGTGGGAAAGAAGTTTATATGTTGAACGGGCCTGCGTTCGGGTGCGTTTGCTTTGTTTGTGGGATCTACGAGGTCTGCAATTTAAGCAGTGCTCTCCTTGTTTGGGCGGTATTTAGATGTTAACTTTAGAAAATTGCCAATTTATATATAGCACTATAGCTTGTTAGTCATCATCCATTTCTTTATGCTACAACGATTGATGGCTGTTTATATTTAAACAATTCCCTTTTAATTAAGTTTTATTTTCACAGTTTCTTCACAAAAATGAAAATAATTGAAGGTAAACTTTATAATAGACTATTAAAATACCAAATTTAACTTAATCCTTTAATTTATAAGAGCAAAAATAATACTTATTACAGGCTACTATTAGGATACGTTTAGAAGTTTTAATTTTTTTTTGGCCTAAATATAACTATTATATCCTACTTTTATTTACTCAAATTGAATATATTGTCACAATAATTTGAATAGAAAATCAATGTTAGTCCCACAACAATAATCCACAAATTCAATGGTAAGAAATATAGTCAAAAACTAGTCAATGTCCATCGCGCAGCGGAGACTGAAAGTTAATTTTCTCCTTATATGTGCATTTTAGTATGTTATCTCCAAATTTGCCTCGCCGCACTACATATGAAGCGTTAACAGTTTATTCATTCATTATTTTTTGCATATTCTAGTATTATATTAAGCGTATAATAGCAATCGATTAGTTTAGTGTAACTCTGTACACTTATTTTAAGCAAATAGACCAAAAAAAGGTTTTTATTTTGTCCAAAATATTTCGTCCAAAAGTCTGAAAGACTGACGAAGAGTCTGAATTTGTACATTTCTGTTGTTACCACTAAAAATACAAAGTCAAATTCTCGAATAAAAATTCGAATAAATCAAGATTGAAAAATTCATGGACAAGAACTGGTTTCGAACCTGCCACCTTCAGCTGCTAAGAGTCGTTTATTCTAATATTCTCAACATTTAAATACTTATAATTTTAGTTAAAATTTATTACAGCTGTTTCAAATAAGAGCCTAAACATTTAAACTAGTAGATTGGCCTACATTTAAGAAAAAATACGTTATTAAAATGTGATTTATTTGTTCTATTGAAAGCGGGCGATTCTTTCAGAATATACAATTTTATTTTGATCTATAATATAATTATTAAACCTTTTGTTTCTAAAATGTATGGTATTTAGTACGTTGGTTCATATTTTTTATACAAAAGGATATTAATAAAATATATTGAACAGTTTTAGGAATGCATAATTCATCGTTCAGCAAACTAAACTGGAAGTACCAGTTGGAATTACAAATCAATATTACCTATTGGAAAACGAGAATTTAGACAAGATGTTGAATTCCCTTGTTGTTCTTCCATAGAATGAGACAGTATACTATAGGTATAGGGAAATGTGGCTTAAATTTGTTGTTCCTAGTACACGTCGCGTAAGATTTCTGGTAAATAAAATATACATTTTTATATTGTGGTCTTTTATAAGATAATTCTCTTTGTTAATAATAATATTACTCGTTTCTTGGTCATATCTTCGTGCCTGGTATTTAGTAAAACAGCCGAAAAAGATTATATGTATTAATTAATAATAAACTTTAACTAAGTAACCTGCTTTAAAAATTATATTGTTTAAGTCATAATTTATTAAATACTGTATTATTTAGAAAAATCATTAAATATCCTTTGGATTTAAAATATGTTGAATTACTTGTACTGTAAAGATAATGTTATTGTTTTGTATACAATGTACATATATATAATCCTAGAATGTATTCATAAAATCTCAATCTCAATCTCAATTTCAATTTCAATATCGAAAATCTAAAATATTTGATCACAGTTCGTTTGTAACATTTATATGGTTTAAATATAATAAAATATTGTTCTATTGTACTAACGTCACGGAACAGACGTTTTGTAATATTCAAATATGAAGCGAAAATTTAGTTTAAATATTAAAGCTTGATGTTTAAATGTAAAGTCAGGTCACGGAGCTCAAGAATATTGTGAGCAAGTTCCGTAGTGTCCGGGGAATCGTAAATCTTGAACGGCAAGTCTCCTTGTGGCATTCTCGATACGTCTATTCCCTAAGATCCAATAGGCTTTGACACAATGATACTCGTAGCAGCAACTGTGACTTTTGCCAGTTTTAATGTATATGCTAATTCCATCAATTCTAAGTTTTATTATTTTTTGAATTAATATTTGTGTAAATAGCAGCTGTAATTTTTATTGAAGTGGCATATGCTATAAATTTTAGTGACAACAGAATAAATTAGACACGAAGAGCGAATTAATGTCCTTTGGAGATACTTGGCAACACCCACTGAATTGTCGCTCTAACTACCTTTTATCTCTCTCTCTTTCTTTTTACAAATGATTACAGATGGATTGAATGCATTGTTACAATAAACAAAAGATGAAAAACAAAATAGAAAAGATGTTTAATATTCAGCATAAGTAAAATGAATATTACATTTCATATTAATAAATATCTTAAAGAAAGAAATATGATTAATAAAACTTTGTTCCGGATTACCGTAACAATAATACAAATACTGAACATACAGATGAAGAGAACATTTATAAAATTTTACAGTTTCAGATTTTATATAATATATTATTTATTTTATTATATCTTACATTATAAGTGAAGGAAAGTGGTACAAGTCTGTATATGTCATGACAAGTCATCAAAAATTTTCGTATATACAAATTTCTTCTTGTTAATTAGCCTTGATATTTTGTAATATATATAAACATACATGTATACTTAAAAACGATGTGAATATTCAATAGATGTCGGGGAGTAAAGATTGATTATACGCTAACAGTCGACAAATAGACCCTCGAACTAATGAATCCTGATCGTTTCATGAAGGTATTAAACAAACTTACGGTTAACATATTTCGACTGCATCAAAGTGACCGATAAGCCGGGATCCAATATAGCGCCAAACAAAGGTTTACAAGAGTTTAGGACACGCCCACCTCGCTGCATATTCAACGCGGGTCCAGAGTCAATACATCACAGAGTCGAACTGTAACCAATGTACAATCAATTATAATATTTGACCATACATCAAGATAAGATAATGTTGTACATCATAACTAAACTGATACTAAATGATACTACATACATATACATATGTACGTAACTCAAGTGGCCCCAACTTTTGGATGTACATTAGATATGAATATTATTTAAATTAGTAATCGTTAATAAAACAGTGATTTTAGTTTAATTATAATCAAAACGCTTCTGTCATAAATATATTAATATCCTGTCATAATATAACAATTCCCGTCCGCTCCCTAAAGAGCACGCATCACCGGTTACTGACCAATATGTGACGCTATACACCAACCGTCCTTTGAATTTTCATTCAATCTTCATAGGTTTTAATTAATATAACTATTTTATTATTTAGGTAGTTTATCTATATAAAGTTTATCACAAATAAATTATAATGAAGGTAAATTTTGTTGTGTTACGTCTAAGTTTTAAATATAAGCAGACAGTCAAGGCGTTGGTTAATTATAATAGATATGGTTCTTTTTTTACTATAAAATATTATTATTTTACAAATGTTTTTACAAAAATACAAGGTTTTCTTTGCTTACTGATTATTTTATTCGCTTCACTTATGTACTTCTATTAGCTGAACTTACTTGGATAGGAACTAGCTTGTATATTAGTGGCAGCATAATTGTTCATTTCCTAATACCCTTTCGATCTCTACTCTTCCTTCTTATATGGTATCTGCCAAAGGAAAAGCCTGGCCACAAAACAGATTAAAAGTCATCTATTAATGTTATACTGATGGTACTAATATATAGTCGATTTTCATTTTAGATCGAAAACAAATCAGAAGAAACGATTTAGTTTCCTTTTCTATTCCATTATTGTTATTTGTTTGAAGTTATAATAAGGTTAAAAGGAACTGTTATATATATTAAGATGCAAAGAACAACATTAACACCACAAGAATTATTTTTTCTTTAGATAAAATCAACCCACGATTGGGACCTTATCGATAAAGATTTGAATAATCTGTCAAAGTATTACAAACTACACAGAATAAGTGTTAATAAAATATCAATAATGTCAACATACAAACTTTAACCGAAGAATTAAGAACATGGACTACACGTTTAACTTAGATGGAGTTCCAATTGTAACAGCTGATTCTGTTAGGGATCTGGGAATTCTGGGAAATCTGGTGGGTAAAATTAATACAATGACTACTAGCTAAACATACTCGTACAACCAAGTACATCCAAATATTTTAAACGCATATGTAGTATGTGTACCTTTTGAGACGTAAATTGTGTAAAGTTATCTATAATTCTTCTATGCGAATAATTTGGGATTACTAAAGAAGTGTATCACAATATAAATTAATAATCTTTATTTTTTAATTATCCCAAAGTTTGATATACATTTCAAAAAACTTATCTATGTGTATAAAAACAAAGCCTTCAACGTAATATTTCCCTTTTGATAGGAACGATAATATTTTTGATATTTAATCTTTTCAATGTTGAAATCTGTTTAGTTATCTCTTTAAAAGGTATGATAAGTAAAAAAAAAAAATATTCAAGTGCCTGGAAGTGAAACGTTTCCAACTTCTGCTCATGACTCATATTTCTGAGAGATGGATAGACTTCCATTTGTCACGCACTGTTCATTGCTTTTGTAATGAAAAAATATTACAAAGGCTTGAACGTAATAATTCATGAAATTATAGAGATGATTAAATAAAAAATATTAACCTGATTTTTATTTTATGATTTGAAAGAAGAATAATAAATTTTAGTTTTAATATTAGTATATATAGAATAGTATATACATTAGCTCAACTTCTAATATTTCTTCGTGATTTTTCGCAATGATAATAATACTCACAAACTGATAAGTATACAAGACCTAAAGCAAAACAGTAACAACAGAAAGGGATGAAGTTTATTGTTAAGAGTGTTCTCAGAAACCGTAATTCGTCTTTTTGATATGGGAGCGTATTTGCCCACCAAATGCTATTTGCACAGTCAACGAGTGGCTTGTTCCAGCTTTGCTCGATCACTTCTAAATCGAGATGACGATATGGTATAATAGTTTTATTTGTTGAATTTAGATTTAGTCCTATTTTGGATGAGGGTCAAACTAGGATGGTAAACAAGAAATTATAACATTTTAAACTTGGAAGGAAATATTTATTTGAATTTCGTGATACAAATAATACTTTTTTATAAAAGGTGTGTTTTGAATTAATCTTCAAAATATTAAAATAATATTATCAGAAAAGAAAACAATTTATATTATGTGAAAAAAATAAAATCTGATCAGTTATAATTAACTGAAATCATCTTTGACTAAGATTAAGATTCTCGCTGTAAGGTAATTAATTTCAATTTAGGCAAATATTTGAACGAGATAGTTCAATTCCTTTCCCTTTTCGCCTTTTATTTTAATGTTTGTGAAAGTGAAACCAACTCCGCCAGCTGTTATTGATACTTTGCCTTCAGTTTTCTCCAAATCTATTACATTGATTCCCTGCGAAATACATGTATTACATATTAGCTAAACAATAAAAAGGATGAAACAAAAATAAATCCCCAGTAAAATCCTTTTGTATTGACTGACATGGAGCCGAAAAGAGAGATTACATTGTTAACATCGACGCATGTGTATGTATAAGATTGATTGCATGCATCGGTTAAGTTTTTAGTTTGATAGAACAAATTATATTCAATTTATTAAATAAAGAAAACAATACGCGTTTTCATACCAGGTACGTGACTCGGTAATGTTAAAAAGTATGAATCCCTCAGGGATCAAAATTAATAAAGCTCAGAGTGTGTGTTTAACATTAAAATAAAAAAAAACACATACCTTTATTATTACGTTTCCATTATAAAAGACATTTTTGTTACGACTTGTCAGCGGTATGCTTGATAGCTTTACATTGTCTGTAAAGATAATTACACTACTGCTGTTACCCACGATCAAATCTGCTGATTTACAATAATCAATATTTAATAGTACAATCACTGCGACAGCCAATTTTATTGCGGCAACCATTTTGTTTTATTTGGTGGAATATGAAAGAACTACATAACTAGCTATCGGATGTACCAACATATTTATTGTAATCCTTATCGCTGATCTCACTGTCTAGAGATTTATCTATTGATAAAACGTGAAAGATAAAAGATTTTAACTTTAACTTGTTATTCCTAAATAACTCATAAATAAATAGTTCTATTAATCTTTTATTATTGTGTCATACTAGAAGTACATAGGTATATATCGTATTGTAAATATTACATTTCGTGTATTATATTTCAGAAAAGGAAACCTTAATTTTTCAAATAAAAACAATTCATAAATAAGCTCCGTGTTTACCTAATGCTGAGTCCAAGAAGATTCGGATGAATTATAGCGAAATCATATAAATAAGGATTTAAGGCATCAAAATAAATTCTCTCAGGCCGCTCGCGAAGCCCACCGTATTATTTTACGTGCAATTTGTTTGTTTTTATTGCGTTTTCGAGCCTCGAGCTGCATTAATATTACAAACGTTATTCCCGAATGCAATATTTTTTATTTAAAAAGTTGTACTCACTTTTATATCGATTTAAAAAAAATATTGGATTAGACTTGTGCAAAGTTTAAACATTCTCTGTATACTAATGAGTAAAGGGTAAATTTATAAATTATAATATATATATTTTATTGTACTGCTAAACATACAAGACCCTTTATTTCTGTAAACCAAACATATGTTTCTATTAAGATATTTTAAATCGTAAATTTATTTACAGAATAAACTTGAATCTCATAATATTCTCTAAGACCAGTGTCAAAGGTTTCTTTAAATGATTGTGAACATGAAGCGGAAATAAGAAAAGAAAAATACTATGACGTACAAGTTACATTTCTATACAAAAAACTAAGCTCTACGTTTAAACAACCCTAATATTGTATATCTTAATTCAAGTGGGTTGTAAAAAGAACCTTTTTTATTTTCTCTTTCCCCCAACCTGAATTTATATAAGTGTGAGAAGGAAAGGCTATGTACAGTTGTTATCGGGATTTTAATATGACAATTCATTGTGATAGGGTGTAATAAGAAAAACATGGGGTACGCTTCCCCTTTTCATACAGAGTTCCGCATAATTAAATAGTAATTACATTGGAGTAGGGCGTATATAAAAATGGCTCCTTTGAGCCTGTACTGTCTATCAATAAGTTGAATGTCACAGTTTATATTTTTGTTTACGATAGAAAAACTGTTCTTTTTAAATGACTTAAAATAAAATAATTTCAAAAGATGATTGATGACGTCATTGTTGCTTTTGTAATTCGTCAACGTAGTATCAGATGAAGTGACGTCACCTGGTATTAAGTCCAATCAATTAGACAAGACCTGATAATGTTCAACTGACAGCTGACATACCTGTTAAACCTCAAACAACATTAGTGTACGTCCCGTGATGTTTGACCAGGAGTTACGAGTATATACCTACATTTTAATTTAAATGCCTATAAAAGTTTAAAACCTTTCATTTATCTCCGCCGTAAAAAAACGAATCACTCAACTGAATGATATATGATGAATATAAAAAGCCTCAACTCAAATATCAAACAGGCATGAGTATATCATCAAACATGAAACGATCCAACAAAGAGCCTCTAAGAGCACTCGTGTAAAATGCTCTTGTACTACGATAATACACCTAAATAGGAGAACTTACAAAGGACTTGTAATATTTTAAACGATATTAATTTATAAATGTTATATTTTCCGACATAAAACATAAAGTCAGATTTTAATTATAAGATAATGACATTTCATACTTTTTGAATGAAATTTTTAGTTAAGGTATAACGATAAGCATTGATGAAGGTTATTAAGTGAAAAACAATAAAGAGGTAAGTGCATTGACTCAACGATTGTACAGCCGGAACAATGAAGAGCTCTGTGACATGAGCACTCT